TTTCAATCAATAATATGTCGAAAACAGGACGAGTGATCACGAAAATAGTCAGTAGCTGTAGACGAGAACGCCTATGTCGCCGCGAAAATATATCGAAGAAACATCGGACAACGTCGCTTTTCGTCGTCGTTGATTCCGTTTAGTACTAGTCTTGTGATTAAATATATTGTTGATTTCTCGTTTAACTCCGAATACAGTATTATACCAAAAGCCGGTAAGTTGTTGACTGACTTACGGACGGACTTACGCTCTTCATGGCATAATAAGTACGCTTCCAAAAAAAGGCAGTATAACACAAATAAAGTTGGTGAGGTTTTGTTTTATGCATGCTGCATCTTCCAGCTGGATTGACCTTCAGAACAAACTCACGGTCAACCAATCAGAATTGAGGTATTGGAAAAAATTGCCCATACATTTGAAATATTTGCCCTTTTCGCTCTTTTTCCTCTCTTTCCAAAGCAAAAGGCTGTTCTTAAAAATAAAGTTATATAGCACAAGTAAACTGCGTGACAAAACATCCTAAATGACCCGCAAATCTTCTGTTCTTTCGCTAACTAGTATTTAGCGTGTGTTTAGAGGCTACGAAACCTAAGTAACCATAAGAGGCGAATGTATAGGCCAACAGATAGTATGAGCTTATAAAATCAGCAAAAATACGGTTTTTATTTTTAACAAATTCCTATGAATTATATACCAACATGTTCAGGAAAGCCCGGGGTTTTCAAATCCACTTCTGTTTTTTTTTTGTTTGTTTGTTTTTTTGGCAGGTTCTGTTTTATATGAAGGAGAGACGACTTTCTAGCTTGACCCCGGTTATATCATGCATTTTCTCTTRTAAAATACGTCCAATAGCGTACATTCAACTCAAAACGTACGGTGGCTTTTTTTTCAATAGAATTCAATCTAAACCATATGATTCAGTCCGTGAATAGTTGAATTAACTGAATCCATTTCTGTTTTTTGCCTAGATAGTCATTATTTTGAGAAAAGATCCAAAAACCGTGTTTTTGAGACATAATTTGTATGGGCTTACATGAGGTGGCGTGAGTTTGAAGTCGTAGCTGACCTAGTAATGTTAACAGATTTTTTCTGATGTTCAACATTTTATTTTCATTAGCATTTGCCATGATTCTGCCAAGAGAGCCCATGGAATACGAATTATTCATTCATTAAATTGATCGTAAACGCTAGTCGAACTCATGACGGAATTCCATTTCAACCGATTTAAGTGCCCGCCCAGAAAATATTAAGCAAAACTAGTCGACCCATAATTCCTTTCGGCGAACGTGGTCAACTTGCGATCGGCTGGTTATATCTCGTATGTTACTTACTAACAATCGGGAGAAAACTAAATACCTTGAGACCTATAGACAACTAAGGACTGCCCAATTCAACTTTCCTTCTCCAACCCCCCTCCCCGTAGCAATATTGAATGGACAAATTTTGATGGCGGGGAGGATAGTTTATTTTTCTAATGTCAAATTTCACAGCAAACTGTCACAAAATGAATCCATGTGCTTACAAATTATTGGTCTCGTTATTTTATTCGCCGATTGAAGCTTTAAATGTATYAAAACCATATGTAAATGATCTCACGACAGATGAAGAATTCATGCAGGAAAAACGTGAAGACTAAGTTTGGTAAAATGTTATACTGTTGTGACCGGCTGATTGAAAATGCCATGTTGCCTCARGCTTGAAAATCCTCAATAGAATGATTAAGAGTATACAAAGCCTTGTTTTGTTACTGAATATCGGCTATAACCTTTTGTTGGCCTGATTAGTTTTTT